GTAATTATATGCCTCAAATTACACTTTACAATAATCTTCATTTTGCCATGTAGCTAGCAAGCAACAGGTTTAGATATCCCAACCCAAGTGTGATTAAATGAAAGTCACTCTCGGGAAACTACAACCAGCTGCTTTCCGACATTGTTGCCTGCAAAGAGCCCGATCAGAGCTGCTGGAGCGCCCTCAAGGCCTTCAGCTACATCTTCCACGTAGGTTATCTTCCCTTCTTTTATGGCAGGCAGAACCGTTTCAAGAAACTTTTCCATAAAGGTGATAGTAATTGAAAACCAGGAAGCCCTTCAAGTGGACCTGTTTCAGGCTGCTCCAGGTTGTACTGTGAGATCATCCCACAAGCTGCAATTCGGTCATTCATCCTCATCTTTAGTAGCACTGCATCAAGCATCTTTCCCCCAACATTATCAAAGTATATATCGATTCCTTCAGGGAAGTACCTATTTACAAAAATCATACATTTGACCTTTCCTTGTTTATCTAAATCACAATTTTGATTTAGATAGAATACTGACCTTTTCAAAGCTGCATCAAGGTCAGGTTCGTCTTTATAGTTGAAAGCCTCATCAAAACAAAACTTGTTCTTCAGCAAATCAACCTTAACTCACAGAAAAAGTATTATATTAAAAAAGAAAGCAGCAGAATTGTTGAATAGAAGAGAAAGCAGCAGCATAACAGCTAAGCTAAGCTAAGGACTAGTGATCTTTTCTTTGGTTCCAGCACTACCAACAACATGGCAACCAGACAACTTTGCAAATTGGCCAACAAGCTAACCTACTGCTCCAGATGCTGCTGAAACATACACTGTCTCTCCCTTCTTAGGAGAGCAAACCTCATAAAAACCAGCATAAGCAGTCATTCCAGGCATGCCTATACATCAAAGCAACTACATGAGATGAGCCTTGAGCATCAAGCAATGAATATAAATTAGGGTAACCCTCATGTTTCGTACCAAGAATTCCAGTATAGTATAGAGAGAGGGACGTCGTGGGTGCTGTGAATCTTCAACAAAGACTGGGTTGCAGTGGCAGTGATGAGACTATATTCTTCCCACCCGGTAATTCCCCAAACCAAGTCGCCTTCCTTAAACTTCGGATCCCCAGATTCCAACACCTTACTCACTTCATTTCCGCTTATAGGCTGCCACAGCCATATTCCAGAGGGAGCCACAATAACAATCTCAGTCAGATCAGATTACTTGTGTTATAAAAAAGAAAAGCAAACCAAAGCAGAGAAAAGCAGAGCAGATCAGATAGACTGACCGAACCGGGGTTGAAGGAGTTGATGACATAACGGGTGCCACTGCCAGGATCGCAGGACAAGTAGAGGTTCTTCACCACAACCCCTCACAACCTTCTGGAAGCTTCAAATTTATACTGCCGGTGCTCACCACTTGCAAGTCAGATTATTTGGGGAAGCCGGACACGTAGTCCTTCAGAATCACCTGCTTGTTCCTCATGATCTTGATCACTCCCTCCTCACTCGCCATTGATTAGCAGAATTTATTAATTGCTTAAGTTTTTACCAAACTAGCTGTTTCAGTTTTCTTTTACTATAATATAATGGATGCAGAGTGAGAGCCGATGAATTTAGGTGGTGCTCTGCTTCTTCTTCATCTGAACCAGAGTATTTATTTAGAGAGGAGTTTGCTATAAGTCTTGTTTGTGGCACTTGATTATACTGAGATCTGCATATTTATATTATATTCAAGTGTTTTAGTTCCAATAAATTTCTTTTAAAGAATGATCCAAAATATAGACAGCTTCGAGTTTTTCTTTTCTCAAATTAAAAGATTCAAAATAAGGGCATCCTTGCCAGAGAAAGATGTATTATATGTATACGTTGTTCTTGGTATTGTTAAGGATGGATACCTTCCAAATTCCAATGACAGCCCACAAGTGACAATGATACGGAGTAGAGGAGAATAATCGACCCAAACCTTGTCATACTAAAGGAAATTACACCATATATAATTCAAACAAAAGGAAATTACAACTCTCTGCATATATGATTGAAACAACATTTATAAAGGAGACACAGTTCTCGTCAACAGAATGACGTACAAGGGCAATTCTTGTCACAAGCCAGTACAAGCTTCAGTTTAATTTCAATGCATAACTTGCATTTACAATAGATAACACCACCATATAGCTAAAGGTTCAGAGGTATAGAGTTGGTTCAATCATTCTCGGGAAACTACAACAACCTGCTTTCCTACATTGCGGCCGGCAAAGAGCCCAACCAGAGCTGCTGGAGCGCTCTCAAGGCCTTCAACTACATCTTCAACGTACGTTATCTTCCCTTCATTTATGGCTGGCACAACCATTTCAAGAAACTTCTCGTAAAGATGATAGTAACTGGGAGCCACAAAACCTTCCATACGGAGCTGTTTAGAGATCACAGACGTTAAATTATGTACACCTTCTGGTTGCTCAAGGTTGTACTGTGAGATCATCCCACAAACTGCTATTCGGCCATGGATCCTCATGTTCAGTAGCACTGCATCAAGCATCTTTCCCCCAACATTTTCAAAGTATATATCGATGCCTTCAGGAAAATATCTGTTAAGAAAAATCATACATTGAGACCTTTCCTTCTTTATGTTACACCAAAATTATGGAATATAGGAAGAGGAGCAACAGCCGCACATACTGGAGGCCTCTCCTTATTTATTTTGCTTTGTTCATTTTATACCTTTCAAGGAGGGGTCCTACCACCAAGACATGAGAAACTCAGTATATATAGCTCCAACATATGAAAATTATAGACAAAGAAACACCTCCTCGTTATCGGACATGGGCAAAGCTTCAAATAAAATCTCGATTCTGATGCAATGCATTTATATAAGGCTCACCTTTGTAAAGCAGCAACCAAGTTAGGTTCTTCTTTATAATTGAAAGCCTCGTCAAATCCAAACTTGTTCTTCAGCAAATCAACCTTAAGTGACAGAAACAAAATATATATATATTAAAAAAGGAAAAGGAAAGAAAAATGTAAAAAAGTTCCAGTGTAATAGTGAACGCTGTAGAATGACACTATCAGAGTCATTGCCCATTGGATGAATATCAATTGAGTGCAGCATGTTGAAAAATAAAACTAAACGAGTTTAACACACTTGATGAGTGACTGGTCCCCAATATTTGTACTGAGGAACAAGATTTTCTCTTCTATTTTCCAAGTATGTTATTATTTTTTAACTACATTTTTCAGGTTGAGAATTTGGCAAACATCAATATACATACATGTTTCTAAAACAATCTGAATCACAGCTATGAATTGCCAACTAATATGCTAGTCCACATTGACCACTAAATTGCAATGACTCACCTTTTCTTTGCTTCCAGCACTCCCAACAACATAGCAACCCAACAACTTTGCAAATTGCCCAACTAGTTGACCTACTGCTCCAGATGCTGCTGAAACGTAGACTGTCTCTCCTTTCTTAGGAGAGCAAACCTCATAAAAACCAGCATAAGCAGTTATTCCGGGCATACCTATATAAAAAGAATACATTAGATGAGCCTTGGGCATCAAGCAGGACATACCCAAAAAGTTAACTTTGGGGTTGATTTTGGGTGTGTTTCTATGTTTAAATAGTGCTTGGGTTTTTGTATAAATACATGTCTAGGATTGGGTTTATTTATAAATTTGTATATTAAGCCTTGCATATATATCTGAAAAGTACGTTTCACAATGGTTTAAATCTATTAGAAAGGATTATTTTGTGATCACGTTCAAGCAGAAAATGGTGCTACAGATCCGGGCATATAAATTACTGCATGACAATCATACAAAAATTGAAATTATGTACCAATATCATTCGAGGGATTAGGCCCTCACGAGCTTTGGTGTACTTACACTCACAATAATCACGCATCAACCTCATATTATAGATTTCAGAAAGCTAGCTACTTGTAGCAGAAGCAATTTTCAAAAAGAGAACTTTTAAAAGTGACAGTGGGGGGAAATAGCAATAGCAGCATACCCAGAATTCCAGTATAATAAGAGAGAGGGACATCGGTGTTGTGAATCTTAAACAGGGCCTCTGTTGCAGTGATGACACTATATTCTTCCCACCCGGTAATTCCCCAAACGAAGTCGCCTTGCTTAAACTTGGGATCGCCAGATTCCAGAACTTTAGCCACTCCATATCCAGTTAAAGGCTGCGAGAGATTCAATATATCAATGTGTTATCATTAAAAGTAGAGAAATCTTAAATTGAAAAGGATTAGCATAAATCTCAGCATAAAGCAGAGATATTTAGATACAAGAGGAAGAGGGTTTTGGTTTTAGATCATTAAATCATCCCGAACCGAGGTTGAAGAGACTGACCGAACCGGGGTTGAAGGAGTTGACATAACTGTCGCCGGGATGGCGCTTGGTCATACGGCCCCTCATATATGGATCGCAGGACAAGTAGAGGTTCTTCACCAAAACCGCACCACTCGAAGAACCTTCTGGAAGCTTCAGCTCTGTACTGCCAGTGGTCACTTGCATGTCAGATTCTTTGGGGAAGCCGGAAACGGTGTCTCTCAGGATCACCTGCTTGTTCCTCATGATCACTTCCTCTGCTGCTCCTATGAAACTTGCAATTTCCAATTTGCTTGAGCTTTTTTAACCAATAGCTTCTGCTGCGGCTCCTCTCTCTAAATGTAAATGGGTCTGCAAAGTTGTATGCGTGCCAATCGATACCAGCAATGTCAATGGGTCTGCTCGATGATTTTGTGTCTATGTGTGACGTGTGCGTATGACACGTATGAATAATCCATTCCATTTCGACTTTGCCGATTTCGAGTCTATCTACTACCAGACAGGCACGAATGCCTATTGTGAAAATCCATCTATGCATTTGTTTGGTTTCTTAATCTTTCAGGATTGGAAATTAAGACCTCTTCCAACTTGAATTGGGCAGGAAATGTTACACCCGCCCTAATTTAAACAGACCAACAAAAAAAACAAAAAAAAAACCTGCAAGTTGCATGGATTGATTGAAAGATCAAAAAAGTTCAACAACATTTATTAAACAAGATTCGCCACAAACCTTGTACAAGTAGAACAAGTATAAAGTTGTAAATGGAGAAGAAGCATTTGCTTGCATTTGCATTTACAGTAGATGATGATTCTACCATATAGGCTAGGCTAGGCTAAGCCAAAGAAAGAAAGAAAGCTTCAGTTCAGACTTGAGAGAGAGAGAGAGAGAGAGAGAGAGAAAGAGGCATGGAGGAGAGTGTCGAGTCTGATCAAGTCATTCTCGGGAAACTAGAACCACCTGCTTTCCTACATTGCGCCCCGCAAAGAGCCCAATCAGAGCTGCTGGAGCGCTCTCAAGCCCTTCAACTACATCTTCCACGTACGTTATCTTCCCTTCTTTTATGGCAGGCAAAACCATTTCAAGAAACTTCCCGTAAAGATGATAGTAATTAAAAACCAGGAAACCTTCCATGCGGGCCTGTTTAATGACCAGATGCATTAAATTATGTACCCCTTCCGGCTGCTCCAGGTTGTACTGAGAGATCATCCCACAAACTGCAATCCGACCATGGACCCTCATGTTCGGCAGCACTGCATCAAGCATCTTTCCCCCAACATTTTCAAAGTATATATCGATGCCCTCCGGAAAGAACCTGTTAAGCCAGTCAGTGCACACATTTAGTTCATATATAAGCAATCACCCAAAAGTAGGGAATAGATACAGTAAGAGGACGGAGACATGAGTTTCTATATAAATATGTCGCTAGCCACATGCTCATACAGTATGTACATTTCACTTTCTCTTTCTCTGTTTCAGGATTGGGGATTAAATTAGGATGTCTGTTAGAGATTGCTAATGCCTTTTATAGGGCTTGCCCTTTGTAAGTAGGACATAACTTTTTAAAAAAACAGTTTAACTGGATTTTGATTAGTACACCTGTAATACTGACCTTTTTAAAGCTGCATCCAAATCAGGTTCTTCTCTATAATTGAAAGCGCCGTCAAACCCAAACTTTTTCTTCAGCAGATCAACCTTAACTCAAAGAAATGATATATTATACATCTCTATATTAAAATATGGAATGAATGGGTAAACAAATAGTATTGTGAAATAGTGAAAATGTAGCAATGACCACCATCAAAGTTTATAGATGCACTTTCCACCGCAATGTATTAAGAAGCATATGCTTACGCTGTGTCCAATGATCTGGACATTTTGCCAGCGAGAGTTCTTCAATCAGATGAAGCAGCAGGTTAAAGAATAAAACTAAATGAATTTTACAAACATTATTTGAGGATAAAGAATATTGGTCACCAATATAATATTTGTACTTCTCAACATGTTCTCTTTATTTGTTAAATTTGTCCAGTCAACAATTTGGCACACATCACTAAACACTTGTTTCTAAGCCAAACATTGTCATCCAATTTGAGTCACAGCCACAGAATTCCAACTAAAATGTAAGTTGACATTGACCAATAAATTGCAATGATTCACCTTTTCTTTAGTTCCAGCACTACCAACAACATAGCAACCAGACAACTTTGCAAATTGGCCAACAAGCTGACCTACTGCTCCAGATGCTGCTGAAACATACACTGTCTCTCCCTTCTTAGGAGAGCAAACCTCATAAAAACCAGCATAAGCAGTCATTCCAGGCATACCTATACATAAAAGCAAGTACATGAGATGAGCCTTGAGCATCAAACAGATTTATTGCGCATTACAATTTACAAATCCATATTACTGAAAACTTGGTTGAACTAATTAGGATGGATCACTTCAGGAATCGCATTCAAGCATAGGGCAAAGCTTCAGATCCAGGCAGGAAGATGACTGTATGACCCATTGAAGTAGAATCACTTTATGCTAAATAAATTCCCGAACTGCCAAACCAAATTACTAATCTTGAAAAGGAATGTGGTACATTGGTCTGTGAAAATCTAATTTATGAAGAGTAGTGTGAGAATTAACAAAAGCAATTCAACTTAACATCGTAGAGGTCACAGTGCAGGGAGAATACAACTAGAGATGAGAATATACAAAAATCCTTTCATCATGAGGAAAAACCGTTGAACAAAAAAGAGGATTTTGACACAATCTGTTCACTTCTAACTTTAGCATGAGAATAGTCTAAAAAAAATAAAAATGAACTAATATTGGTAGACTCCGGTCCGTACTCAACATAAAAGATTGTGGACAGGTGCTTGTAAATTATTCAAAGAAGTAGCATACCTAGAATTCCAGTATAGTAAGAGAGGGGCACATCAGTGTTGTGAATCTTAAAGAGAGAGTCTGTTGCAGTGATGATGCTGTATTCTTCCCACCCAGTCATCCCCCATACCAAGTCGCCTTGCTTAAACTTGGGATTAGCAGATTCCAAAACTTTAGCGACTCCATATCCAGTTATAGGCTGAGAGAGAGGATTTCAATATCAAATGTGATAAAGTTAAAAGTAAGAAATGCTAGCCTACAACATTGAGTAGACACTATCCTGGCCTCCTGGCCTCCTGGCCTGGGTATGAGTTGTAACTTATAAACGTCTCATCCAGCCGATGGCATAATACTAATAAAGCTTGGATCTTGGATGTTCATTTGTTACAACATACATAACTCAAGTGTGGATTAGATATCTGATATGGACTAGTGCAGACAATTTCGCGAACAAGAGAAGAAGGATAATTGATATCATCACGAACAAACCACAAATCATCATAATTTTTCTCTCACACATAACATAATCATTAACATACAGCCCGAAAAATCAACAAATACGATAAAATTGTACTGCCGAACCCAAAAAAATGGGACCGGGTTTCTTTTCGGATGTACATCTCAGAGAAGAGAGAAATGCTAAAAAAGATTCAACCTTGATATGAATTTGAAAGGAAATAAAGAAGGCAAACATTATCAAAACAATTAACAAGTTAGAGACTGGGCGACTCACCGAACCGGCGTTGAAGGAGTCGACATAACTGGCGCCAGGGTCGCGCTTGGTCATGCGGCTTCTCATATAAGGGTCGCAGGAGAGGTAGAGGTTCTTCACCAAAACCCCAGCAGTGGAACCTTCTGGAAGCTTCAGCTTGGTAGTGCCAGTGGTCACTTGCATGTCAGACTCTTTGGGGAAGCCGGAGACATAGTCTCTCAGAATCACCTGCTTGTTCCTCACCACGTCCTCTGCTCCCACTCCACCACCAGTACTCGCCGCCATTCCTCGCCACCAGACTCTTTGGTAAAGGGAAAATATATATTATTATTAGGATAGGACAATGTTTGAATGGAGCCATTCCTCCTCAACAACTAACGTGGCTTCTTTACAAAACAACACATGTATCCTTTCTTTTTTTCTTTTTTTTTGACCTTTCAACTCCTTTAACTCAAGTCTTTTGTTGGTTTTCTTTAAATCCAAAGGAGACTTTGGAAAAATCCAAATGAGAGAGAAATTTGGTAAAAGAAGCTAAAATAGACAAAATTGCCCTTATTTATTTTTTGATTTCCTAAGAAATCCTTTACATTTGTATGTCTTTAATTTTTAAGTTGAGATATTTTTCTGTCCTTTTTGAAAAAACTTTTACTTTTTTCAAAAGTGAAATTTTTTTTATGGCCAAAACCTAAATTTACTTTATATATAATAGGAAATATATATAATCCGTAGGTTAAAATAGTAAAAATATTAAAACGTTCTTCTTCCTCTCTCCGCCAGTTGGTTATCACCCTCTTTCTTTCTTTACCCCTTTTTACAAAAAAAACATAAACAAAAAAACAAAACGTGTTGTTTCGTAAAGAAGCCACGTAGCTGGTGAGAGGAATGGGTATTACATAGAGAGAGATTAGAAATTAGGGAATGCTAGCAACTTTCTCTCTAACTTCCTCTTTTGAACTTTCTCTATTCTCTTCATAACATGTGTCACTCCTCTTTTACTTAAATCAATGTTTTTAATTACAGAAAAAAAAAAAATTATGTTTCCATATTTGCCCTTGATAAACCAGTCTAATTCACTTGTTTCTTTTATCAACGTGGAAAACACAATAACTAATTCTTAAAGATAAAACAAATCAGACCCAAAAAAAAAAACACACCCAACCACGCCGTTAAACCCCTTCCTCCCCGCCGCCGGAAACACCTTTTCTCTCTCTTTCCCACATTAAATATGGATCCAGATCAAACAAGATAAATTATTTAGACTTAAAAAGCAATTTATGAACTTTCCAATCACTTAGACTTAAAAAGCAATGATGTATGTTGAAGAAGGGATGAGAACATATTATAACCCATGGATGTTTAGGAGCAAGACGACATCTTTTGCTCTTAACATGTGTTTGCCAAAACGCCAAACTGTACCAAATCGAAGGAAATCTGATACGTGCTTTCTACCTCCAATTACATATTTTGGGTCATAGGGTTATATGAGAGAGATCCAGATCTGGTGTGGAACACAGAGAGAGAGAGAGAGAGAGAGAGAGAGAGAGAGAGAGAGAGAGAGGAGAGGAGGGGTGGCGGGGGGAAATAAGGCTTTGCTGGAGGCAAGGAGGAGAGGGTTTGCTGCCACCGGGGTGGGGTGGAAGACGAGGTTGGGTGTGGAGCTTTGGTGGCTGTTCACTTTCTGCGTTCAGTTCTTTTTGTTTCTGCATTCAGAACTTTTTTTTATTTTTTAAATTTCATATTTCCATCCTTTTTTTTTGGGTCTGATTTTTGTTTTATCTTTAAGAATTAGTTTTTGAGTTTTCCACGATGATAAAAGAAACATGAGAATTGAACTGGTTTATCAAGGAAACACAATTAATATTTTTTCTGTGATTAAAAATATTTATTTAAGTGAAAGAGAAGTGATACATGTCATGAAAAGAAGAGAGAATGTCCAAAAGAAAATGTTAGAAAGAAGGTTGGTACCATTCTCTTATAAGTTAATAATAGTAAGTAATATTGATTGTGATTGATTACTACTTACTTTGTCAGTGGCAAAGAAAACAATGCGATCTTCGAGAGTGGAGGAGGCTGCCTCATCACTGTGCTTAACGCCTCGCATGTAGGGATCGCAGGACAAGTAGAGGTTCTTGAGCAGCATGGCCTCTTGGCAATCATCGTCATCTGGCACTCTCAGTTTTATGGTGCTGCTTGTGTTCAAGTACATGTCTGACTCCTCCGGAATCGCACTGATGTAATCTCTAGCAAGCACTTGCTGGTTCCTCACTTCCTTCACTTCATCTCCTCCTGCCATTCTTTCTTTTTCTTTTTTCTAAATCTCAACTTCTCTCTCGCGCTGTATCTCTCAAACAATTAAAACCAGGTTATATATAGAGAACAGATATATGTTATGTTACCCTTGAGGTGAGGTGAGGATATATATATATGTAGATAGAGAGAGAGAGAGAGAGAGAGAGAGAGAGAGAGCAAAATGAGAGGTGATGTAAGCACTGGTGTAAGCAAGCACAAGTCCACTTTTTTTTCACTTGGCTTCATTTGTTGGATTTTTTGACACGTATTTTGCAGTCCATGCTTGAAAATGGAATTCATGGTCAAAACCGGCTTCTCTCTCTCTCTGTTTGGAATACCTTTATCCTTATCCTGCCATTTAAAGGTTTTTTAGGTTTTAGATATAAAAAAAATTTCACTTTTGAAAAAAGCCAAAATTTTTTCAAAAAAGACAAAAAAACTACTCAACTTTCACATGAAAGACATGCAAATGTATTGGATTCCTTAAGAAATCTAAAAATAAATAAGGGCATTTTTGTCCATTTTTGCTTCTTTTAAAATTTTTCTCTCTTCTTTTGCTTTTTCCAAAATGTCCCGCCATTTAATTTGTCATGTGCCAGTTGTGGTATTTTAATTTGGGGGGAGGGAAGGGGAGGGGAGGGGGTATATGTTTTTATTTGCTTCGTTTTTTCGGTGGCTGGGTGTGGGTGGGGGGTTGGTGTTTTGTGTTTTTTTGAAAGGGTCTAATCCAATGCCCAAGACGTTTGATCGGTCTTTGAATAATTCTAATATAACCCTGATTTGAAGGATGGAAACGTTGTTGTAGTTGTTGGAATGGAAACGCAAACTAGGAAAGGGAAAGAAAACAAATGAAGTTGTCCCGCTTACTCTTTCTAATAAACCTAATAATGCATGCATCAACCCTGAAAGATTCTTTTGGGCACGCACCGGCGGCAGCAGAGCAGTGATACCCTATTTTATTTCACACGGCCGGGGCAAGCCAACACATATCAATAGTTACACATTTCTATATGGAAAAGTTTAGTAACGTCCCTTTAAACTTCCTAAGCTTTTTTTTTATTTTCAATTTTAATGAAAGTGGCCCTTTGCATTATAATGAAAGTCGTCATCACCTTGCAGGAGAAGATAAGAACAAAGCACCACACTTTATGTGGGAGCAGGATGGACTCATGATTTTTTCTAAGGGAATAAAGTGAGTGTGTTTTGAAAAGGGGAATGTGTCACATGTGTGAGGTTAGTTTATGTTTTTCTTTCTATCAAATTTGTGGGGTTAGTTAACTAAAGAGAGAAAAAATGAGATTTTCTGTGGGTGGGATTGGGGTATGTGTGTCCGCTGTGTGGGGTGTAAAAAATAAAGTCACCTAGGCTATAGTCCATGTTAATTTATGAAATTAATTAAAATACTTAAATACTAAATATTCATAAAATAAAAAATAATTAATATAATTAAATAAAGCTAAGATATTACTTAATTGCAAATATTAAACTAAACAGACTAATTTTGTATATAATAAAAAGTTTACAAAATAAAATTTATTATGCAGTTTATGAAATTAGTAAAATATTTAAATACTAATTATTCACTAAAGCAATAATAATTAAAACATAATTACTAATTAAAGCAATCAAAAAATACTAAGATATTACTTAATTACCTTACAAACGCATGTTGTACAGTATAGCCAAGCAGTTATACTTTTAACATATATTGATATTTAAGGAGTATAGCCGTGCGGCTATACTCTTCAAATATATTCCACTATATATAATTATATATATTCGAATGAGCTAACAAAAGATTCTATAGAAGGTACAAATCTTGATGGATGCATTTGCTGCAATGCTACAAATTCCACTAAATATGTAATTCCGCTTCATTCCCACAACAAAAGTTGGCAATTCCTCATTTCTGGGCGTGGAATTTTAAGATCAATTATAGCAATTACACGATAAACTTCTCTCTAAAAGAGAAAAAAAAAATTTACTCTAATGAATAGTGAAAAGTAGATTCACACCAGATTTTTCAAAAGAAATTAAACAATATAATACATATATGCGTTCGCTTCATTGGCTAATTAGCTAATATTTTTAGAATAGTTAATTTATAAGAATGGTACTTATCTAATTACAACGTACCTGTGGGGCACATACTAGATTAATAATAATTGTGACAAATTGTCTATGAAAAAATGATTTAGAAAAGGCCTACTCTCTCTCTCTCTTCTAGAGGAGGATAAATTATTTTTATTTAGGGTAGTTAAAAACTTCCTTTACTAGTAAAATATGAATATATTATTTATTGAAAGGTACTTAAAAGTTAGGGCAATGATTTCCCCACTCCTATTTTATCCACTTACACTCCTTTTTTAGTTATAAAAAAGGAGTGTAAGTGGATAAAATAGGAGAAAAAGGAGTGGGGAAATCACCACTCAAAAGTTATCATGAATCTTAAGACTTTTAGTAAAAGAAAAAGAAAAAAAAGAAGGGCTTTTCACTAATAGGTCCATTTTAGCGTGACATATTATACAAAAACATAGAGTCTATTTGGAGAGAAAAATCCAAAACTAGCCGTTTATCATTTTCTAATTGATTCATTTTCATTTTAATATGTCATGCTAAAATGAGTTTTTGAATAAATATCTATAAAGAATGGAAATGGGCTTAGCGACACTAAGCATTGAATTAACATGAAAACGAAGCAAGTAGGTGATTAACATGTGGAGATCAATCAAATAGGTAACTAACTGGAAAGGTCTGTAATATAAAATGAAATCCCCTCCTCATGATTAAGTGAAGAAGAGATACATGATATATGATATAACATAACAGAATAGAGGTAATGTATAATTACAATTATCGGATCGGCGTCGGAGTAACAATACATAAATATAAATTACATGACATGAGCTCATCTTCTTCTTCTTCTTCTTACTTTTCTTGCATTGCTGTGATTATTGATATATATAATCAAGTAATTCCTCATCAGGGGCTAGCTTTAGCTTGATTGAGTGGAGTGATTGATGATGAGTATGTTGTGACGGTGGGAGCAGCAGAGGGCGAAACTAGAGTCTCCAGGTATAAAGCCAGTTGAGAAGAATGAATATCCCCAGAGAGTATGGTTCGAAGTGTTCTGTGCCCCGGATTGTAGATGACTAGCTTCCTTTGATGCAACAGGATGACAATTTCACCGTTGTTTAAGATACGCACAAGCGACATCAATCCCAGGTATTCAGACTCCATCTTCTGCGGAATGGTTGTGAAAATAGTCCAAGACGCCTTCACCCCGTATTCATTCATCAACCACACCTCATAATCCGAGCCATGGGGGCTGTGAAGCATACTCAGGCATCCTCCCAAAACCCCCAAACCATAGAAGGAGAAGTTCTTGTCGCCCTCGCCTGGCAGGGGCACGTATCGGTACGTCTCCTCCGTTACATCAAAAGAAACGATTGAGAAAGGCCTCTCAGCAGCAGCAAACCGAACAACCCAGTGGAGAGCCCCGTTCAATAGGGTGCCCACCACATTAGACAGAAAGTAACAAGGGAGGGTTTTGATGGCAGCTCTCCATGAATTGGTGTTCAAATTAAACATGTCAAGGTGGGTGGCGAAATTGCCATTCCTACTGGAACAAGAGGCCCTCACGATTTTGTAATCGTCGTTGCAGGAATCATAGCCAAAGCCATAGAAGTAGTCCTTACCCAAATAATAATTATTGGTAGGCGGTGGAGGTGGAGAGGGTACTGAATGAAGTTGCCTGGTGGATGGATTATAAATCATCATATCTTGAGAGTCAAGCACCAAACATAGGAGGCCATTACAAGATCCAACAATCTTCATGTCTTGAACTGCCTGGTGCCTCATCAGGGACTCATGTACCTCCTCCACGACTACTACTCTAGTACTAGTTGTGCGAGCTGCTCCAGCTGCATCTGCCTCTGCTGATCTGGCTTCAATTCTAGTATCGAGTACTTGTACATGTACCGACTTAAGGAGGGGCAAGGAGGAGGAGAGCATGACTAGTGCTTTTGATGATCTAGTTTTACCATCGTCATCGCCCTCATCTTGTTTTGTAGAGTGGTTGTGGAGGTGTGACTTGATGAATTTTGGGTCGGAGATGAGAGCAAGCCATGGCTTGCATGCGCATCTGAAGCGAAGCAGCGACTTCACCGGCAGCTGCAACAGGATTTGCTCTACAATCTCACAAGGAAGCTGCCGCTGATGATCTTGTTCATCTTCTTCTTTATTGTTGTTGAGATATTGAAGATCCAATAATGAGGTTTCCATCGATATTGTCTTCACTTGTTGTTCTTGTTGAGTGGATTGGAGGTTGAGAGTTGAGATCCAATGTTGATCCATGTACATGTGCAGCAGGTTGAGACACTCCATCTAATCTATTCACCAACCTACAAGTCAAATATTCTATGAATTTCGGAGTAGCTTAGTGTAAACTGCACTGTACGCGCATATTTATAAATTAATTTGGGAAGGCTCCAGTGCTCCACTCCCAACTTTGGATAAGTACACACACACTATATTATTTATAATGAAGACAGTTTATACGTCGTCTACTTGTGCTAGTTGCATAATTGCATAATTGCATAATTGCATTGCACCTACCCCAGACCCCAGACAAGACAACGTACGATTATTTGTGTCCACCAATGGAATTTTTACAGGATTCGTAGCTATTGAGGAGTAAGGATAAGGAATAGCTTTTTTAGTAGAATAAGTTTGATATATAATATGCATTAATTGGAAGACTAAGCTAACAATAAATAATTAAAAAGAATATCCATCATACATTCACACAGAGACAGCCATGAATCCATGATCAGGAAAGTGAGGAGGAAACAACAAGAGTTAGAGACAAGAAGATTATTGTCTTGCCTAAAATACATGCAAATTTAAAGAAACAAAGAAGAGTTAACCATGAGCAAACCCCAAAGAAACAGAAAGAGCAAGCTAGCTACCCCAAAGAAACAGATTGCATCTTCACGAGGTATATACAATACAATGCAATCAACCACCTGTGGGCCGTGCCAGTCCCATATTTAAACAGAATCTAATCTAAATATAACATCTACTACTTGTTTTGATCCTCTATA